GATCAAATGAGAGTCTAATTTGATTTTCCCTCTTGACCTCTTTTCCTCTCGGAAACAACAAAGCACCGGGGATTTTATCAAAATGCTTTTGAAGGAGCAGAGACATTCAGGGATGCTACGAGAAGAGTGGATAATCGGAGATATTGTATGGGGATAGAAAGTACAATATGTTCTGACAAATGTAGTATATAATGCAAATAGCTGCATAGACAGAAAGTGCCATTGGCAAAAGTAACAATTATCTGTAATCAGAATTCTGCATTTACCTATTGTAAAGTAAAAGTCAGGGGGAGGTCTAGGTCTATGACATTGACTCATATTATACCTGAACGATTCTTTCATTCACACATATTTCTATGACAATTGTTGAAAAGAGCTTGAGAACTTTCTTGCTCACAATTGCTTTACCGGAATAAGATTTGTGCTTCCCTGATGGTAGTCCAGTGACTATAAATCCAACACCAGCAGTAGGTTAGCATAGCTTAGCACAAAGACTTGAAACACGTGTGTTCACAAATAGTCTAATGTAAATAGCTCTCTTAACTTTCTTGTTGCCTGCCAACTGTTTAGACCATCACACCACCCTGCTGAAATTGTACATTCTAACATATTCCTAGTGTTTTTTGTAAGGATTAAACAATTGAAATATGGGCTGCTGGTAGGATAATTTGTTATCTTTGCAGGGCTGACTTTTTGCATATTTTTTCAGTCTTTATGATAAGCGATGTTGATATAATACTTGCTGTAGCCTTGTATTTAAAAGACACACATCTGGGTTATAACTTATATTTTAAATAACTATTAGCACAAAATCATGTGCTTATTTCTCAAAATGTAAAACGTTAGCTTAAAGCATTTCTAATATTTCATATTGTGCCCAGCAATACAAAAAAACCAAATGAGTTAAGCTCAATTTTACTTGAACTGAAAACCAAAAGAAAGTTCAGGTTTTTTAAGTATAGCGGGTGGATGGGGTTTAAAATCTGTATCGGCGCCTGGCTTTGCGGGAACTCCTGTTTGTGGTTTGTTCCCTTAGATGTGGCCGCAGCCAAGACCACTTCAGAGGATACCAGCAGGCGGTAGTACCACAGAGGAAAAACACACACAATGGCTGTCTGGACTAACAGTAACAACTTCATTCACTGATACCACCACAATCATAGGCCACATGTGTTCTGTCAAACTAATGTCGGTGGTGAGGGAGGAAAGTAGTAAGTTAGGATATGAAATGTGAAAAGTCTAGTGAGGGAGGCCAAAGCTGGTGACATTGTCATAGCTCTATAGATATCTCTTTTACCAGACTCAAACTTTTTACATATTGTACCTAACTCTGTGGCACAGAGCAGAATCAAAATCAGTTTTAGTAATCTTTAAAGAGGGCATATTATACCCATTTTCCACCTTTTCAAACAGTCCCCTGTGGTCTAAATGAAACATCTGTGCTGTGCTTTGGTCAAAATATAACATGAATCAAGCACCAGAGGAGGTTTGTGACCCTGTATAAAGCAGCTTGGTTTGTGTGTCTCTTTAAATGCAATGACCCCCCTGAGTTTAGCCGGTAGACATCACTCCTCTGTAGCGAGAATAAAGGTAGACCTGTGCAAAAGTTTTGCTCTAGACCAGGGGTGGAGTCCATGGGTGGAGATATCAGGGGAGGAGAGGGGGTTTTCTTTTACCAGAATCCAACTTGTGACACCAGAAGTTGAACAAATTTGAATCAGAGCATTTTTCTATGTATTGTAAGACTTATGCAGACCACAAACAAAGGACTGGATGGGTTTATTTCACATTTTGTGGGTCAGTAGACACTCAGGTTACCCAAATATAGTATGTTCACAAGCACTGTGAAAGTGGATTTTTCATAATATGTCCCCTTTAAAAACTTTAAGAAAACGCTTGTTTGTCCAGAAAAGGTCAGCTAAAAGTGAAGTCTATTTTAAGTGTTTCTGTTTCCACATCCCCCCCCCCCCCACATGTACCTGTTAGTGAAGCACAGCATTCACAATCTCCTTCTGTTGCCTCTCAGTGGCTTCACTGGAGATTTTGGGTGCCTGAGAGCCCCGGGCAGCCACAGCAACAAGGGCAGCCACGGCTCTGAATAGTTGTTGAGGGAATGACAGTTCATAACTTGAATTTTATTGACTGATTGGGCATTCAAGCCTATTACCTTGGTCACAGGCTATTTCTCTTACTTTATAAAGCAATAGAACATGGAGACATAGTCTTCTCTTCAAGCGGTAGGAACATAAAGCTGAGCTGTTATACAAAAAGACCATTTTAGTAATCCATATTCAGCAGGTTAATCTCTCATTTCTTTGCTCATAATGTGTTTATTTTTATTCTGAATGTGTGGGCATGGAGCCCCAAAGGACTTTTTTCAGTCCTTGTTTTCTTGTACCTTATGCGGAGATTTCATACAGTATTTGGATTTTTATCTTTCTAAGCTATCTTTAGCTTTAAATCTTTAGCTGTTATTTTTCAGAGAGCGGAGAATAACCAGCAACACCAAAAACTGTTCCCTTTTCCCCACTGGTAACAGGGACTGTAGGGATCTTGCAGATATTCTTCAGAGGTATGGTACACTTTGTAAAAAGGCTGGTTACTACCTGAGGACTGACATGGTTGTAGAGATTCATCTCAGCGGGACTGAGACAAAATGCTTTCATGACACCTGCTGGTGTAGTGTTCTTTCCAGACTCTGTTCCATTCCGTCCCCCATCATCCATCCATCAACCCAGCAGTAGATGCTCAGAGCAAAGCCACTCTACATTTGTCAGTGCCCATCAGAAGTTGTTACATTCTCATTACACGCCTGCTGAACCAGTCTGAAGACTGAAATACACTCTGGGAGTGTTGTAAGAAAATGTCACAAAGTATCAAATGTGGCCGAGCACCTGAGCAGGATTTAGAGAGACGAAGAAAAGCAGGGGGGCTAAATCAATACTTTTCATTTGAATGCTTCACACCTGGTGTTGTGTTGTTGTACTATATGTCATGTTTGTTCCCCACTGATTCAAGAACTCCTTGTGAAAAAGACAGCTGTCAAAACCAATATGCTTCAGAGATATGGAAGAAAAAGCAGAAAAGAAGAGAGGAAGATAACAAGAAAAGAAGCAATTAGCAACTAGGAGAGTATTTTTATTTATTTCTTAGCCTGTTAATGAGACACAGAGGGTCAAAGCAAAGCGAACCACAGAATGAATTAAAAAGTGATTAGTCTCTTGTTTTCTATCAAGGTTTGGTTCCAACACCCATTACGTTTTTGAGGCTAGCTCTACGATCATTAAATGTGCAGGAACCTGGTAGACGTTGGGTTATTAGCAGGATTTGAAACCAACATTAAAGCCATGCTTTTGAGCAAATATGCACAACCGTTGATGTAATATTACACACTCGTGTTTTCTTCATCATTTTTTTATCACCCTACCTAGACATGGAGGACACTTTCCCTACTGAAGAACCCTTGGTCATGATTATTGCCAGAAAGCTGAATTCGCATTCTGATCATGACATTTGATGTTCTGAAGTCTGAAGGTGTAAAGCGTGTGTGAACATACTGTGTGATACCGCGAAGGAGACGAACCAGGGTGGAAGACACTAAAAATCTGAGAAAAAAAGACAAATGAGACGACCAGGGTCTTTATCTAAGAATTGTATTTTTGAAATCCAAATCTGTTGTGTTTTTTTTGTGAACATTGCACAAGTTTCTTTGATCAGCTTCACAATGAGTGAACAGTCTCTTCAACTTATTCTATTCTTAAAGTCACCATTTGATATAATTTGCTTCTTTTGAAAAAAAACAAGCTATTATTACAACAAAAGGGTCTTAAAGACTGATCAAGCTTTCCTTTCGAATATCCACCATAAAAAGAAAATATTAAGATATCTCTCAGACGAGGATTTGGAAACCATATAGTAACACGAGGGTTTATCCCAGAATGTAATCTCTGGATATGTCGCATAATCTTAATTAGTTGTAGAAAATAAACTGGCTACAACTTTGTGTATTCAAAAGCAGTTGGTTCCAAGTAATGAGTACACACTAACACTGTAATGTTTTTCTGCAATTACCATATAACCTCTGTTATTTATCTGAAATGTACTTTTTCTCTGTAGCCATGTGTATTAAAACAAGGCTAAAGGTTGGTGACCGTGATGCTTCCTAACATGATTAAATGCTCAGAGAAGCAATACTAATTGAAGACTTTCCCTGTGTAGCTGTGACTCTTCTCCAGAGTTCATTACGAAACTGGTGACATGAAGAACGTGATTATCCAGCCTCTCACTAAATGCAAACAAATCTTTGAAATAGTAGAGTTAAAAAAATGTGAACAAAGAAATCATGGATGGTGATGGGGAAAATAGAAACATTAAGTCCTATGCATCTTTAAGTGACATCATGTTGTGTATTACTATTGAGGAATATATGTAACAGAGTGAATGTTCTGTTTGTGTTTTGAGCCACTAAACATGGCATAGGATGCTTTATAACTAAAGTATGTAAAGTAAATGTGTAGACAACACTTGCTTGCAAGGGATTGTAAGGAGGAGCTGCGTGTGTGTCTGGATGCAATCTATGACTTTCTCTGAAATAGTCATGAGAGGGATCAGTATACTTATTCCTTTCTTTTTTCGCATATCGATTGTTACGTTGCCTCATCTTACAAATATGTTAAATCAGATGAAAAGTCGACTACAAGCATAGATTATGTTCAACCAGCCAATGGATTTCACTCTTATTGTTTAATTAGTCACCGAGACAACCGTTTACCATGCTTATTAATTCTTTTGTGTGTGTCTGTGTGTGTTCATGTCTTCTTGAGTGATGACACACACACACACACACACACACACACACACACACACACGCACACACACACACACACACACACACACACACACACTACACACACTACACACACACACACACACACACACACTACACACACTACACACGCTCTGAGAGTTCAGTCCAAGATTGTCAAACGCGTTTTTTCCTCTCTGCACTCATTGGTGGAAGCGTTTGTCTTTGTTATCAGTCTGTTGGTTCAGTGGATTCTCCTCCTCGTCTGTTTGTAAATAGCTGCGCTCCTGCTGCCCTGGAGACAGACACACACCGCTCACTCGGTCCTCGCATGGACATTTCCTCACTCGGACCCCTCTCTGCCCCAGTCTCAGAAGCTGTGCGCAGTGTTCAGTTCTCAAAGAGCGAGAGAACACATCAGATCCCAGTCCGTCCTCCTCTCTCTCTCTCTCTGTGTCAGTCACACAAGAATGGATCTACCCTCTTAGCAGAACACAAGTCTACTTCAGCAGTTTGCAAGTTTGGCTCTCGTTGAAGAGCGAAACAAAAGCGGGACGCCTTTTCCCCCCCAGACGACATCCCCTCGTCCCGGCGCATCAACTTGGCTGTCAGAAACCTTCGCGATGACAGCAACCTGGCTACATTCACGCGTTCTGCTCCTGCTTTGTTTCATCTCCTCTGCAGCGTGCAATATGTTTGCCTTCACCGAGGAGCCCTCCGAGAGAGCCGGGAAGGCAGACGGGTATTGTAGTCGGATATTAAGGGCTCAGAGCAATCGGAAGGAGGTCAACAACGAGTTTCGACTGCGCGTTGAGGGAGACCCGGAGAGCTACCAGCCGGGGAGCACATACAGAGGTTGGTCTTTGTGCGCGAGATTTACGCACACTGCATTTGTTGGCACTGCACTTGCAATTTCCTTAAAACGCTTAAAGGTGGGCGATTCAAACTTAACACTAGTTAATCAGCTTTATTATTCGTTATTAAAATGTCCTGAGAGTGAACTAAAGTTGGTTAGAAAAAGACGATCCTTCATCCATATGGGGAAATGCACATTTAAAGTTTTTAGCAAAATGTGGGAACAATTCCCTTTTAGCAGATGACAGTTAACATTAATCATCTTTAAACTCTTCGATCTTATCGTAATTCTCTTTTATTGGTAAAATATAATGTTCAAAGTCAGAAGTCCCCGACTTACGTTCGTTCAAAATTAAAGTTAATGGATTCTGTTGATGAACATGCGCCATCTGCTCTGTGATGATCAAATGTTCATGTTCTCTTCTCGACAATATGTTGCGCTGTGGTTGGTCACATCCCTCCAGATAAGCATTAAAAGTCTCAAGCATCCAAAGTCGAACAACTGCGTAGGCAAAGTAATAAGGATTTGGAAATCCAATTGTGTTTAATAAAAGCTTTTATCCTTTCTAAAAATGAGTCATTTTTCAGTCCAAACTTCTATTTTTCAAGATGCTGATTAGGATTAAAATTGCAGGGAAATACATTTTGATTTGAACTTGAATGAAAGTTAAACTATAGTCTGTTAGATTGCAAAATATATTAAACATCTCAAAGAAAAACTACCAGGCTGAGAGGGAACATTTTAATCATCTCCATCTCTAAGAAAATGGGAAATACTTTAGCAAAAGAAAAAATAATTAAACTTGAGAATGTATTACCCCTTATAGAACATGTGTTTTGTTAAGGAGTGAAAATTCTTCCAATTACTCTTTCACTGGATGCCTGTTCTCACTCTTATTTGCTTCCATCTAGTGACTCTGTTTGCATCCAGTCCCTCCTACTTCAGAGGGTTTACTCTTATTGCCCTAAAGGAAGGTGCAGAAGGAGACAAGGATGAGGACTACATTGGAAATTTCCAGGTAATGTAGCAGCTACAAAAAAAAACCCTACACATTTGTATGTTCTTTTTTTTCTCCAGTGAATGAACTCATCCTAATCTAGCCACACGTGTATAACTGTTATATCACCCCATCTTTCCCTTGGACCCGAGCACGAGCACTGTTGCATGACTTGTGTGAAGAAGAGAGTGAAAAAATAATCAGATCATACAGTAGATGGGCAGGTTGGGGGTCTTCACACATTTTCTTTTGCACAGCCTTGCCGTCTTCACATGTCAGAGCATGAGTATTCTCACCTCTCCTCCTCTAATAGGCTTGATAGCGTTCAAAGAATTACAGCTCCCACAGCCGGGCTTTGTAAGCCTGTGAACATACATGTGTGGAATTTGAGGAGTTATACGTATGTGTTCATGTATGTAGGGAGTGGATGCCATTCAGAATTACAGGGAAGTTCCACCTGCAGTAGGACTAATGTAGGAAGTAGCCTACATAGAATATATAATTATTATAAATATGCTTCTTAACAGCATACATACACAGTATATGTAGATGTTATTCATCATATTTCCAGGCGGCTGTTTTACTGTGATGTCACAGTAAGGGTTGAAAGGATAAATATAGGCCTAGTTAAAATCTTGTACTGCTGCGCTAACATTAGCGTTCAGCCACTTTCTAGCTTACGTTACCTTTGATAGTGTTACATGATGATATAGGAAAGGTGTAAACTCCTTGCTGAAGAAATGTTTGCTTGCTATCTTACGACATTAGCAAGCCAGCAAACATTTCTTGAATGCCATTTGATAGTGTTGGAATGCCTCTTTGTAGTGGATATAACAGGGAAGGCTTGACTCCCTGAAGCAGAGATTTTAGCTAACAAATGGAATGATAGCTTTCTAACAGTTATGTTAGCTTAAGCTGTCTAGTACCTAAAAGTGATAAAATGTTGTTTTACCTTCTATAGATATGGCCTGATAGCCTTTAAGATTTTCTCTAACCATTGTCTTTTCAGTTGTAGGCCCTTAGCTTTTCAACGGTAGCCGATGGAATGGCAACTGTTTGATTGAAATTTGCTCTACTAGAAAACAGTGATCAGCATGACAACATTTGAACTATCTTCAGTTTGTTTACATCGCCGGCCCGACGGATGACTCCTCCCCTCATGAATAAAAGTTGTTTAATTGAGGGACTAGAGAAAAGAAGAATAACATACTGTACTCACTGCTTAACTGTGTTTCTAGATCACGCTCATTTCAGGTAAATTTACATGCAGTTGAAGATACGAGCATAATAAAGATTGCTAGCATTAGCATGCTAACACAACAATGCGGCACGAGTTGTTTCGGTTTCATGCTGGTGCTCAAGGGCGACATCTGCTGGATCAAAAAATCGAATATAAAGCCTTTAAAGTTATATTCTTGTATAGAGGCAGACCTTGTAAGGAAGAAGTTACTTAATGCTTTTAACAGTGTGCGTAGAGATCGCCTTTTGAGACTTTGAGAACTTGTCAGTTTCAGTTCTTTCCCACATTAAACCTTATTATTTGATTGAACCAGAAGTACAATACATGGGGAGGCTTTCACTGCAACTGTTTTGATCATGGCCCCTGTCCTGCTGTGGCACTCTCAGTGAACCTGAACCTTGTATATGGGACAACATTTTTAGTCCTGTGTGCATCTCACACCTAGTTTCCCGGAATAAACGACAAGGTTTTTCTGAATTTTATTTATCCTTGCAATTGATTTCAAACTGTTGTTGTTTAGCGCCAGCCTTGAGCTTGCACCTCAGCCATGTGGCAGTGTTTTGCATGGTGCGACGGTTTGCTAAATGTCAGGAGCAAAGAGCGTAAGCACTACATCATTTAGTCATGTTCAGTCACTTCCTTCCACACATGGACGAGGCGGAGTTTGTCGTACACAGAGAATCATAGATGTGTTTGATAGATTTGTGATCGCAGCCCTTAGATGTTAGCATCAGAAGTAAGAAGAATGAGTGTGTCATTAGTGAAACCTGCCTTTGATTCGTCTCCAGCCAGATAAGGTCTCTTTCACAGCTGCAGATGATCACCTGTCTTGTTGAAAGCACCATGTGACAGTGCAGTAAAAATAAACTGCTGTCCAAAGAGATATCCCTCTACCATCACCTGCGCAGTTAGTTTTTCATGATTTTTATCTTGTATGTGATAAAAAGCACACCAACACACAGACAAAAACACACCCAAACACACCAATTCTCCATTTCTGAAAGAGCTCTGGGTGGGCGGGCTTCCAGGCATTGAGAGGAAAGAAAGAGAAAATAAGCCGCAACAGAAGACGTCAGGCTTTATTTAACATACAGCTCATTTGAAATCTGCTGGTGTGCCCCATCCAAGCTGTCTCAGGACAGCTCTGCTCTTGATGAAAAGCACTTTTATTGAGCTTTTCTTGGGGAGGTCAGCTGCCACTGTGTGCATTTCCATGTGTATGTGGGTGTGTGTGTGTGTGTGTGTGTGTGTGTGTGTGTGTGTGTGTGTGTCTAGTTGTTGGTTGGAGAGTAAAACAGTGGGCAATGGTAGTATTGTCTGACAAGACATCACGTCTTAGCAGGGAAAAGTGATAGAACAAGAACAGGCAAATTATTTTGTGTGAGGATTGAAATCCGTGCCTTTAGGAGTGTCGCATATGACATGATTGTCAGTATAACAAGCAGGTCTACATACTATCATTTCTCAAGGATGAATTGATATTACAGCAACAAAACGGTTCTGACAAGTAACCTCTTTGCAAATCATGCTATTTGTATTCATCATTCCAGAGTCCCCATTTTATTCAGGACTGAGCAGCTGCGGTAGAGACAAGCTCTGACTCAGATACAACAAATTCTTGCATAGACTAAACACTGTCTTTCCAATATAGACTCACAGTTTTCTCTTCCCTTCACACATTTTGGCTGCTTTCGGTTGAAAATTTAAAAAACCTGGAATAGACACGTTTATTGACAACGGGTCTTAAGGTCACTTTGCAGCAAATTGGTTGCTTCGTTTTGCAGATGGTGTTAAATGCATCTCCAGGAGACTTCGCTTTGCTGGTTAACACGTGTTGCAGTCAAGTCAGGCTGGCTACAGGATGCCTGTTAGAAACCATGGGAACATTCGGGAGGGGGGAGTTGTAATCTGCCAGTCCAAGATGGGCCGCACACACATGCATAGCACTTCCACAAACACACAGGTCCTAGGCTCTCTTTCTCCCTCTCTCAATAATTCCAAACACACACACACACACACACACACACACACACACACACACACACACACACACACACACACACACACACACACACACACACACACACACACACACACATCCACACACACACATACACATCCACACACAATCCACTTTCTGAGGGAGCTCATTCATAACATGGCATGACAAAGGAAATTCTCTGCTGACAGCTTTATGGAGTGAGAAAGTTCTCCGACTTTACTGCCCTGATGTCACTTCCTATCAAACAGATCCTTGGTCTCAGGGCAGTGAATATTAGCCTGCCGGCTGTGCTCCCTCATGCAACCAGCTCCACTCTTTTCCCATACAGCTGAAATCAATGAGATGCTTAATGTCTCAGGCGTGTATCTGAGTATAGAGTGCTGCATGCTGTTTTGCTTGTATTTGATTTATTACAATATTGCATACTGGCATCATGATTGAACATCGCTGTGATGCGTATATGCTTAACCTGAATATTTATGAATTTAATTGAACTGATTTCATTTTAAAAAGTTTTACTACTTTCTACCGAGATGGCTAACTTTGTAGCTCCAGGTAGAAGCGACCTTGAACCAACAAGGCTGATACACATTGTTCAAAGTGAAAGAACAGCACTATGTGTCACATACAGTATTCACTCGTTTGGATTAATTGCTTTGCTATTTGGTGTCAAATGCCTCAATTAGCTTTTTTGTACTTTAATACATGGACAGAAGCAGTTCTTTTCACCAAGATTGGAATTTGGAAAATCTCAATTACCAGCATCTAGCCAACAGTAAGACTTCTTATTTCAGCATCAGTTAAAAAGCTTTTCAAAAGAAAACCAAAAATGATCCAAAACTAACAGCCTGCCCTAACTGCATGCAGGGCAAGCTAGCTTTAGCGACAAAATCATCTTAATTCTATTGCTTCCTAATGGAGTGACCTATTGTCCGACGTCCTGGTTCTATTTTCGTTCTGTCGCTCACTTAGCAGACAAGGAACGAGGTACAAGGGGGCACTACACGGCACTGACACGCCCTTTTCTCACTCAACAGTGCTTGTTAGCTTATTTTACTATGTGGAGATAACAGTGTGTTAATAATATCCTCAGACGTGAATGAAATGTTGTTCTTCTGTGTCAACACAGGAGGTTGTGATTTGAGCTTGTCAATACAAAGCACCACACATCAGATTGTCCACCTTCAATACAAAAGTATTAAATGTTTTACTGTTTGCAAGGGGAAACTGTCATTGCAATTTTTGACTTTCCTAAAATTCCTTTATGTGCCTCAAATATTAAATCCATGCCCATTTCAGCAGCTAATTATGTTTAAAAGTGCTTTCTCATAGAACAAAAGAATACATATTTTGTATGGACATTTATATTTATTTGTAATGTTTGTGTGAATTTGCTTTTGCTTTACAGATAATTGATGAGGAAGAAACACAGTATATGACCAACTGCCCACCTGCTGTGACAGAGAGCACTCCTCGCAGACGCAACAGCATCCAGGTGTTTTGGACTGCGCCCCCCAGTGGCTCTGGCTGCGTCCTCCTGAAGTATGTTCACACAACACCTACAGAGTAGACAGCAGCACTCATTTCATATATTTTACACTACATTTGGGAACTAAAGGTGGAGGATACATGTTTAATTTTTGATAAGAAAGTTTCTTCTAGTTGCTTATTTGTTATCATCGGAGAACTGTAGATCCATGGAAGCTACATTTATCATGGAAGTTGACCTGTTGTGAAGGTTGGATCAGACTTTTCATTGGCAGAGCGTTTTGGGCTGGAGGGAGTGTAGCCCTGGATGAGAGAGTTTAGGTAAGGAGGACCTCGTAATTGTCGCTGGTTTGTAAGCGAGCAGCAAAATATTAAGCTATGTTATAAACTAAGGAGGGAATTCAAAATGAAGGGATTGTAATAAATGATCACAATTTCATATCACTTACCTCCAAGATCTACTTCATCTTGACGTCTGATTCACTTGTGATATATTCCAGCCTAAAACACTTCCATCTAGTTTTGCAGCTCAGTGCATTTTGCTCCTGTCAAGCATCTGTTTGTAGAGAACAGCTGTCAGGACCTTCAACCTTCTCATATAGACTGAGTTCAATTCTATCCACATATATAGAGGGTGACTTGGAAGCTTGTTGGGAGCAGCTTCGACCTGACAGATGTGATACCTGTTTCATCCTCTATCACGTATAGCTTTCAGCTCATTCAGACAGAATCACATTCTCTTTCTGAAGGCTCCAGATCTCACACACCTCCACATATTTGGATAAAGTGTGCCTGTATATGCCAGGATTTAGGCCCAACGGCTAAAATAAAAATCTTTGACAATTATATAAAAATATAATAATGAATATCACTGACAAACTGTATTGACAGATATGTTTATTTCTTGGGTCAAACAAAGGTGGAACAGTTGCCATTAAATACTATTAGGTACTTCAGTTGCCACCATTAGGATGCTGTACATTTCTCTCCACCTGCATGCAGCTGTTATGGCTTGTGTTTTGATGAATTGGAATTTGTTGCATTAATGCTCATTTGCTTGAGAGGGGGGCAATCTTTTTCTAAAATGCATGAAAAACGGCTGTTTGAAAACAGCACAGGAGCAGAGCTCTGCAGTATAGTTAGGCCGTGTTCACACTTGACTTCTTTTTTCAACTGCTAGCGCCTTTGTTTTTTACATACAACCCTTTTTTCCGTTGAATTTTTTAACTTTTCAGAAAAGCACTGTGTGACGTCAAGCGCCTTTCTGACAGCTAACCAATCAGGACGAGTCGAGTAGGTGCGCGTGTACCTTCCCTAGTAACCTACTTCCCTAGTTACCGGTGCCCAAAAAGATGAATGCACCCATAAACGGCGCATTGGTTGTTCAGGAGCATCCTCCTCCTCAAACGCCAAAGCCAATGCAAATGGTTGCACTGTATTTGCCATTTTACCAGCCAACACACGGTAGAAAGCTTTCTGGTAGACGACCCAAACTTCCACCAGATATGTATGCATTGCGCATCTGCTCTGGTCCGTTACGAGTCCGTGCACCCTTGTCCGTCAACACCCACTTCCCCATCCTGCTTGTTCTTTTCTGTGCTAAATTGGTGTGTCTGCTCCGGCACGGTTGCGCCGAAGGCTTGATCCCTTTGTTGAGGTTACTGAACACTCGCGCAAAGCGCTCAAACGGTGCTGAAGGCAGCGTTTTTTTCTGAAAAAATAAGTCAAGTGTGAACACGGCCTTAGGGGTGCATTTCTCCCTTTCACATTTTATTGAATAGAAGATGGTTTCTAGTTGTCTCATTTGCACTCATTTAGCTGTTGACATTTTTGCATTTTGTAAATTAGCTTCTCAGTCTTCTTTGATAGCTCTTACAATTGTAGTTTTTAAGAAGCTGACAAACTAAAGCAGGTTGGTTATCTTGGTGTTATTGCGTTTAAATTATTGTTTTCAGTAATATTTGTCTGACAAGGATTTATACGGAGTTCAATTTAAATGTTAATATTTTGATTTACAATCCAGCACTCCTTGGGATTGTAAATTGTACTTGCATATTACATCAGGTCCATATGTACAGAAACTCTTTCAATACACCCCCTCCCCCAAGAAGAGCTCAATGCAGAATTTCAAAATGTTGAGCCTCACCTGGCTTTATAAACTATTTATTACCGTTATTAGTTATGCAGCTGATTGACACCAATCAATTCTGCTCCTGTGAGTCTTCTGGGCTGGCTTGGAGTCAGGTACAGTCATGTTCACCTGACAGAGTATGACAGGAATCCATTTGTTACTACAGTGGGGGAATACGATGGAAACATGATGGGGGAATCTGCGACTTGCATTCTGATCAATGCATTATTTCACTTTTTTGTACACGACCTGTTACTCTGCTGCCTCTTCTACATCTCTGTAGTTCTTACTGAGGGGTGATAGAAGGTTGAATATCTTCTGCAGAAATGCATGTTATTATGTGACCTCCACCCTGCCAGAGTGTTGCGAGTTTCTCTTTTCTGCGTCTCTGTGCTTTCCAATTCCCTTGTGTTTATCCTCCTCGAGTATCTTCATGACCTGCCTGAGCTTTCCTTAACTCTCTCACACTGATGTGACATTGTGCCCCTTGCTCTCTCCAATTCCCTTTTTTCATCCATCTCTTCTTTGTCTTTATCTTCACTGTGTGTCATAGTTTCCTCATATTAGACCATGTTGTACTGTACATGTACATGTTGTTCTTCCCTTCTCATTGAGTACAGGGTAGAAATTGACAATTTGAAAGTGCAGAGATATGGTTGTAACACCAGGTTGCAGACAATAGGGGAGGGAGGGAGGGAGAAGTGTGAGAAGCAGACAGTTGAAAAGAGATGTCTCTGAAAGTCACGATTACATGCTGGGAGTGTGTACTTGCCACTGTTCTTCCCCTTTCTGGCAGTCAAAAAGATGACAAGGTTTTTGTGTGCTCACTACTGCAACACAACACACATCTTTATAAGGCTGCTTTGATTGAAGAGGTGCAACCCCTGTATCTAACTTTACAGCACAGACACAAAGACATTTTTTTTACACTATTGTGCTATCATACAGGCCTCATCATAAGCGGTAGGTGGTAACACAAAAACTGCCCAGTCAACAAATATGCACAGCAAAGAACCAACATTATAATGTGAAATAACATTATAGATTAGCCTAGCTTAGATAGGAAATTTCATTACCACCACAGGCAGGGATAATGTTTGCTTTTAATTTTGTTTCAAATCCCAAAAGAGCTGCCTGTTGGTCCGCCCGCCTGTAAAATATGATGGTTATTTAAAAAACGACATCTGGTTATGCAATAAGAAGTGTGTGTGTGTGTGTGGCTCAAGTATATGTACATGTGTTTCTGTAAGAAGGCTCCAGTGACTCAAATGCTGTCCCGGGAATCTTGCTCCTCCCGAGTGGTTTGCTGCAGTGTAATTGACAGGCAGTCTCCGTCTTTTAGATGGAAAGACTGAGCTTGGTGGTTTGGTGCATGATGATAGGGTCAGGCAAGGATGCGCATTCAAACTGCTGAACTATAAGCACCGACTTTGAAAGTTTAACCATCGAGTCCAGTTTATTTTGGGCTTTCTTACATTATATGCCAGAATCATATCAAGCCAAGGTTTCTTTCGCTCTATTGCTGGTATCACACTCTTGTTTTGTTGCAAATGCTTTCTACACATTGAAGCAATCACAAGCAGAGCTCCTCTAGAGGAGAAACTATGACACAGAAAAACACAAAGTCCACAGTGGTAGTTTGAGCACTTGGAAGAGATGTATAAAATGAATGACAAGACTGAAGTTATTGTGCTTGGCCCTTAAAACCTCAGAGAGACTTTTTCTTACGATATAACTGTTCTTAACTATATCAGCTTTGCATCTAGCACCACTGTTAGGAATCTAGGAGTTCTATTTGATCAAGATATGTCAAACAAATTTCAAGGACAGCCTATTTTCACCGTCGTAATATCTCTAAAATCAGATATATCCTGTCGCAAAACAATGCAAAAAACTAGTTCATGCATTTGTGACCTCCAGGTTAGATTATTGTAATTCTCTTTTATCAGGCTGCCCTGTTAGTCTCTAAAGACTCTTAGTCCAAAACGCTGCAGCTCGTGTACTGACTAGAAGTAGGAAAGGGTTCCACATTACTCCAGTGTTGGCTTCTCTGCACTGGCTCCCTATGAACTAGAATATAATTTCAAATCCTTCTTCTCTCTAACAAACCTCTTAATGGTCAGGAACCATCTTATCTTAAAGAGCTAATAGTGCCTTATTACAATTCAAGAACATTACACTCCCAGAATGCAGGCCTGCTCATGGTACCTACAGTCTCTAAGTGTACTATGGGAGGTAGAGCCTTCAGTTATCAGGCTCTTCTCCTTTGGAATCATCTACCAGTCAGAGTCCTGGAGGCAGACACAGTCTGTACTTTTAAGAATAGACTTAAAACTTTCCTTTTTGATAAAGCTTATAGGGCTGGTGCAGGTATGGACCAGCTCCTAGTTATGCTGCTATAGACTTAGACTACTGGGGGAACTGGCACCTTGAGCTTTTATCTCTAACAGTCACTATCGTTAAATCTTAGTTACTAACCACATATTTTCCTGGGAGCGCCTGGCTTTCATGTCTCGTAGGTTCCTCAGGATTGTTGGTGGATGACCTGCCTGAAAGATTTTTTTTTAAAAATGACCCCACTCAATGAAAGAGTTAGGTCGTAGTCCAGTGTTACAAGTATCCAATGTTTTAACTGGGCTGCTTCTACTGGTGTGTGAATACTTCATGCATTTAAAATGTTAAACTTGCGATTGTCAGTTAGGGATGCACAATAAATCTGCCTTACATGTAATAAGAGAAAAACATTTTTAAGTACAAATGCCCAGTGGCGATCCTAAAGTCCATTGGGGCTCAAGGCAAAAATCAGTTGGGGGGGGCCCTCCAACCAGGCTTCAGCAGGGCAATGAGAGTGAATGCTTTCAGATGGGGCCCCCCTAGGGAGATTTACTACTGTCATTGCAAAATTTGCACATTATGGGTTGCT